AGGCAGGCACGTGCCACGTGCATACGAAGCTCCATGTCGGGGCGTGCCGGCCCCGTCCTGGGTGGACGCCGGCGTGACGCCTGTGCTGCCCAGGAGGGGGGGGGAGGAGGAGGAGGAGGAGGAGGAGGAGGAGGAGGAGGAGGAGGAGGAGGAGGAGGAGGAGGAGGAGAAGGAGGAGGAGGAGGAGGAAAATTACGAGGGTGAGACAGGAGGAGAGGAGGAGGAGGAGGAGGAGGAGGAGGAGGAGGAGGAGGAGGAAGAGAAAGCGGAATGCCTCGTCATCCTCACCATCTCCCCCTCCTCCTCCCTCCCCCCATCCTCCTGCTTATCCTGCCCCCTTTTCCGCCACAGTTGGACGCCCGAGATGTCCGTGATACCTGGTCTCGGGTGTAGCTCCCGTTCAGGCGCAGAGACACGGACGAGAAGATACCCCCGGCCACCCCAAGCCCCGATGATACGGGAGTCGGGCCACGAGGCACTCCGGTTTGGGCACCCGCGGCGCGGATCAGGAGCCACCCCTGGCCATCCCTGGGGGCGGTGAACGCGCAGAGACCTCTGAGGTGGCGGCGCGCAGGAGGTGGGTATGGGGAGCGGGACACAGGCGTCTCAGCAAGGGGGCCGCTGCTTGCAAGGCCTGGGCCTTACTACATCTGCAGCGGCCTCCTTCTACGAAGCCTGATCCACTCCCCGTGCCCCCGTCTGCGCGTGGCCGACAGAGGTCCCGACCGGGCCCCTTCTTGCAAGGCCTGGGCCTTACATCTACAGCGGCCTCCTTCTGAGAAGCCTCCTCCACTCCCCGTGCCCCCGTCGGCGCGTGGCCGACGGAGCTCCCGGCCGCATCGCCGGGGGTAAGGTTTTTCGTCCCCGGGGCCGTGCCTGAGGGCTCTCCCGGGGCCCGGGCACAGGGAGCCCCAGGGCCAGCATCGAGGGCCAGCCGCTGTAGTGGAAGCCACCAGCTCGCCGGAAGTCTTGGCACACATCTGGGCCCGACCGAGGCATCGATGACGCCCAAAATGGGTACGGACAACATGCAAGCGGTGCCCAACACCAAGGGCTGGCCAAACATGATGTTTCTACCATGTTCGAAATTCCTCCTGTAGAAGGACGTGCCCGACTTAAGGATACAGGCCGTCTCCCTCGGGCTTCGAGAGGCGCATTCCCCAACTGGGGTGCGGAGATGGTGTGGCTCTGGATGGGGCTTTGGATAGGGATAGGGTTAGGTCTGGCATGTCCCCCTACAGGCGGATTTTGGACAACAGAACTCTAAATAGTCTACAGGTGCTCAAAATATCCTAAGGTAGTCAAACAACAGTGTCCTCAGGCTATTTCTTTGACTACAGACAGACGTGCCCGACTTAAGGATAGGGGTCGGAGAAACGACAGGTCAGGTTCATGTCGTGCCGACTTCGGCGTTGGTTTCTGACACCGCGGGGATCGTTCAACCTTGCACGATCGGCCGTTTTCGAAACGTCCAAATCGTTCCACATCGAACGATTCTGGGTCGCCCGCGGCGTTCAACGTTGAACGCCGCTGGCGGGGTCGCCGCAAGTCGACACGACACGAACCTACCGTACCCATGCCCAGACATGCGACGCCCTGGTGTTTCAAGACGGCGCACCTGGAATAATCCCCGACCCTTTCCTCCCCGGGGCCGGTTCTTTGTCCCGAGTCGTTTCTTCACGCCCCCGAGGCCCGGCGAGGGCCCCTGGGGCCGAAAATAGCTCAAAACCTCCCGTCCTGATCTTTTACGACGTGATCGTGTCTGGGGTGCTGCCCTTCTCTCCGTACCCATGTCGATCGCGCGGAGTCGAGCGCCCTCCGCCCCCCACTGCAGGGGCCTCCGGACGGCGGCCGAGGCCTTCCGCCGCAGACGCCCGCGGCCCCCCCCCCCCCGCGGACCGTGGGCCCCCCGCGGGCCGTGTGAGCTGGCGGCGCGCACGAGGCGGCCCACGAGCGTTCGGTCGGGCATGTCCTCCTACAAGCGGGTCTGGGAAGAGAAAGAAAAAACGCCAAGAAATAAACAGAGCAAGTTTGTGTTTGTATCGGAAGAAAAAAGACAGAAGAGAACTTGAACCAGACCGTCGCTTCCTGCTCTTGAACACCCCTCCTGTATAGAGGGACAGGCCCGACCCCCCGGGAGGTTTTCAAGAATTTTCGGCCCCGGGGGGCCCGCGCCGGGCCTCGGGGCCGTCAAACAACGACTCGGGACGAAAAGCCGGTCCCGGGGAACGGGTCGGGGCTTCCAGGGACGCCGTGCGGAGCAAGATCAGGACGTCGCATGTCTGGGGCGGGAGGGGGGGCCTTCTGCGAAGAAGGCGGGGGAGCCTCCTATCTGCAGAAGGCATGGGGGGCCCCCTGAGATCTGGCCGTCGCCTTTGGTCCGCACGGGGCGTCTCCACCTCTCCCCAGGCCCCAGCGTCATCACAGATCGACCCGGCTCGCAAAATGCGGCAGACATGTTGAGTCTGGGGCTCTGGTCGTGATGTTTCGCGACGCTGCACTGCTGTTTGCAGCGTCGCGTGATCTCAGGACCGGAGCAAAGTCAGGGGCGCGAATCCCAGAAGGGCCTGGACCTGAGAGCTTCCCAGGGAGAACTTGGGAGGGGATCCTAGAGCGCAGTGGGTTTTACGCGGCCATGACTTGCGCGATGGGGGGTGAGGGGAGGGGGGGCGGGAGGGGGCATGGCGCAGCGCTCCCCCAGACTGTGGCGCCAGACGCACTGCGGCAGTGCCAGGGGCGCACGGAGGGGGGGGAGCGTAACGTTGTGTATGGGAGGGGGGGGTAGGGAGCAAAACGCGCGTGATGGCCGAGAGGATAAAACAAACAGCTTCCCTGGACCTGGGAGCTTGCCGGGGAGGAGCTGGAGGGGGATCCTGAGACCTCCCCCCTACTGCTCTCCTCCCAGACATGCGGAGTCATATTTTTTTCAGGACGGCGTCCCTGGAAGCCCCGACCCGTTCCCCGGGACCGGTCTTTCGTCCCGAATCGTTTTTTGACGGTCCCGAGGACCGGCGAGGGCCCTTCCCCCCAGGGCCGAGAATAGCCAAAAAACCTCGCGCCCTGATTCTTTAATGACGCGATCATTTCTGGGCTCGGGTTCCCCGCAACCCATCCTGGCGGAAGGCTGCCTCCTTTCCCGCGTGCAGGGAAGCCGGGGGGGGGGGGAAGAGTGGCGGCGGGCGACTCCTTTTTTCTTAGCGTGCAACGTCGCATAAGCCCTGCGAGAACCATAGCTCGGCCCAGGGGGGGAAAGGGGGTGAGGACGACTGGCGGCGCGCGGGGTCGGCCTCGTCGGGCCCGCCGCAGACACATGCAGCCAGCCCGCAGGATAAGGATGCGCGGTAAGGACGCAAGGGCCTTGGAAGGCCATGTCGACCCTTGGCGGGCGGCGCGCGGCCAGCGAAAGCGGCCAAGGATGGCCCGACGAGGAAGGATGCAAGGGTAACCTTGGGAAGGCGCTCATCCTTACTATGCGGGCTTACTGACATTACCATAAAACATCTGGCTCCAAGCAGTCTTGGGGCACATGCTCCCGGACCCTGAAGGCCCCGGATGCCCGAGACGTCCTCGGAGAGCGTTTCCCTCGGGACCCCTTCCTTCCCTCGGCGGCGCGCAAACATGGATAAGCGATCCATGATTTGGCGCGCGGTCGCCAAATCCATGGATCGGGGGAGGTGCCCTACCCAAAATGCGGCCGGTATCGCCTCGCTCGGCAGCGAACTCCGCGATTTCCCATGGAAACCGGACCCGTCGCTAATCCACGCCCCCTTGATCCATGCTTGCGATCGCCTGAACAAGGCATCCCGCCGGCGGCCCTCCCCCGGGGGATTCTCGAGCTGCTTGCACGCGGGGCCCTCGCGAGCTCCCCTTGTCCTGCGCCTCGGAGCTTCGAGGGCCCCTATAATAGGCTCGAGCCTCGAGCCCCTCGCCCCGATGCCGGGGCCTCGAGCCCCGAACTCCTCGCTCCAGGCCCCCCAGGCATGCGACGTCCCGATTTTTTGCTCCGGACGGCGCCCCTCGAAGCCCCGACCCTTTCCGGACGGGCCCCCCGCTTCTCGCCCCGAGCCGTTAACCTCCGACGCCCCCCCCCGAGGCCCGGCGAGGGCGCCCCCCGGGGCCGAACATGGCCCCCGGCCTCCCGCCCCGATTTTTTTTTTTTTTTTTTTTTTTCTCTGCGGCGCGGTCACGTCTGCAGGGCCTCGAGCTCCTCGCTCCGATCCGCTCCCGCTCTGCTGTCACCCCGACTCCCCCCGCCGACTGGACCACCTACCAAGCCACCCCAACCCGACCCGAAGACCCGAGTTTCGCCCGAGTTTCGGGTTGGGGGGTGGTACGGGTTCCATATGTGTTTTCCCAATGTTCCCCGACCCCCCCCCCACTGGAAATCGAAGATAAATTTGGGCCTTCGGGTTGGGTTGGGGTGGTTTGGTGGTTGGTGACGACTCGCCGCACGGTGCGGTCTCGCCGCACCGCCTCAGGGCCCCCAGGAGGCTCGCCCTCTCCTCCGGCCTTGCGCGCCGCCGGGGACCGAGGTGCGCGGGCAAGGCTTTCCTATCCCATGCCCACCGCGACGTGTCGGCTACACGCAAGAGTGACCCTGGGTGAGCGTGGCGTTTGAAGCGCGGCCTTTGGGGGGCCGCGGGGTGACCAAGCACAGGTGCGCAGGACGCTACTCTCGCATCGCTTTCGGCGATCGGGGGACCCCACTGTGCCCACACCGAAGGTCACTCCGGCGAAGGGTCACTCTTGCGTCTAGCCGAAACTGGCATCATCCCGAGATGGCCGGCCAAAAGGCCGAAGCGCACGGGATGCTGGTACGAAGACCTGGCCTGTGGGCGCCAGATCTTTTCCTCCAGATCCACTGCGCCTCTGGCTTGTGGGGGGAGGGACACCCGACACGCCAACACGCGCGGTGGATACGGATACGAGTCCTGCCCGCGAGGTGGGCTGAGAGGCAGAGGAGGGCGCGCGCGAAGCGCACGGTGTGTGCGGCAGCCAGCTCAGCTGCTGCTGCTGCGCCCCTTCCGGCGGCCGCGGGCGCGCGAAGGCGAACGCCTCCTCGACGGGACGCGCGCGCGCGGGAGGGGAAGGGAGGGGGGGGGGAGGAAACTTGGAAAGAGAAGGGCCCAGACATCCGACGACCTCATGTGTTACTCCTGGCGTGCTCCTTCGATCTCGGCCTCCGCTGGGGCGCGTCGCCGGACCCATGAAGAGTGGGCCTGGAGCGGAACCTCTAGGGCTGCAGATCGAACTAATCATGCCGTCGGACGTCTGGAGGGGAGGGCATGGGATATGATCTCGCGCGCGCAAACAACCACCAACACGATCACTCCACCTGCACGCGCTACACATCTCGGCAACAAGACTGTTCCGAGGCGAATGGCAGAGGCAACGGAAGGCGGCCGCGTTTCCGCTTGAGTCCGCGGGCCGGCCTCCACAGCGCAAGGGGGAGCATCTGATCAACCCCACCTGTCCAGAGCACTGTTGGGAACCCTGGTTCGGGCACAGTGCCCTGGCCATCTGCCTGAAGCTGGATCATCCAAGTTCTTGCCTTCAGCAGGAGCGCCCCCCCCAAAAGGAGAGGAAAGGTAGAGTCACGGCGACTTCCCATGCTTCGCTACGTCGCGAAAAACGACCACCACGGCGAATGCGTGCCCAGTGGGTTTCTGCCTGCGGGGGGGCCCTCTGGCCCCTCGGAGGCTGTCAATATACACTGTCAAATCAACTTCTCAAAAATAGGAGTACATTTTTCGGCTGCCAATCAAGACGCCAATTCACAACAGATCTTTCCTAACCTATGGCAAGATATGCCCGATGTTGGGCCGCCGAATGGCTTTTGGCCCAGAGGACCTCGACACGGCTTGAGCTCGTGGCTGCCGCAGAACACGGCCCGGAGATAAATAATCATAATAGCGCACTGCAGCACCAACGGCACGAGAGACAACCCAGCGCCTGGGCTCGACGGCGCCAAACTTGGAAGATCTCCGCCCGCCGCGCACTCCGATGTAACATCCAAATCATCAGGTACCCAAGAAAGAAACACCGACAACCCGCATCAACGAAGTCTCTTGTCGGTTCCACACTTGCCTCCAGAGCCGCCCAGTTTCCAGACGCCCCCCAGCACTTCGCGAGCGCGGATGCACCTCCCCAGGCCCAGACGAGGTCCCGAGGAGAAACGAGGTGCCCGCAGCTGGCATCTAGGGACGGAAGCCCACGAGTGGAAAAGGCGATCTCGGCGTCGACGGCGGAATCAACATAGACCGAATACCCACCACTCGCACTTGCATGGTCGGGCAGCAAAGAGATCGCTTGGCATCTCCAGCACAGATGTAAGGATATCCCTTCGCATCGCCACATCGCAATTGCCATCCGCGAAGCACCCTGCGCGATGTAAGCGACTTTCTGGCAGGCACACTCCGACAACAATCGTGCGCAGGAGTGCTAGTTTGTGTTGCAATCGCCCTCCTCAAACAACTTCTTATGCTTGGCCCTGAAGACGGTGAAACCGGCACTGCTGGAGGGGCCTTCGCCACAGTTGTGCTGCCCAGCGTCAGCCCACGCAGACGAAGGATGGCATGCGGGTGCGCGAGAAGTAAGATGGCACCGAACACCGCTAGCAAAGAGGCAAAGCGGACTACGGCCAGGAACAAGCCATCCGTCCTGTTCGCGAGCGTCCCAACTTAAATCCAGGATGGTAGCGAACAGAGCAGCAAGTGGCCCCCGGACCCTCCTCCATCGATGCTGTGGAGGAACAAAGAGAAGACGGCCCTGCGAATCTGCTCACACGTTTCCCACCCTTTCCCGCAAGCCCTCAGACAGGCCTGCCCAAACTTCGGAAGTCCCAACCAGCTGCAACTCTCACCTGGAAGTTCGGGCCGCTCTTCGCGTCGCGCGGGAAGCTGCGGCCCGACGCGACGCAGGCCCCCGAGGGCCAGCATCCCGAACGCGCCGCAACTGACGATCGGAACTTCTTGCGATCCTTGGAGAAAGCCCAAGCATGTTGCGCCCCCAGGGCCCCGCGCCCAAGACCTGGATTGAACGCTGTCCAAGGAACGCCGCACTACTTGGCCGGGTAGGAGAGCTTATGTACGTGTGCGGCGAGAAGCGATTGCTGGACGCTGCTGCGCTTTCCACGTGGATCTGATGTTTTGCACAGTGGTCATAGTGGCAAGATCCTTCCCGCGAGTCGCAAAGCAGGCGGACGCACCGCGCCCGTGCAGCTCACTCCGCAAGCGTCGCCGCAGCTCCAGGGAGGAGGCGACGGCGAAAGACTTGGGGCTGATCGCGCAGCCCAACGCACCAATCTCACAATGAAGCTCACGAGCGGCAAAGGGAAGGACGCGACGCATGAAAGCGTCACGCGCCGCGCAAGACCTCGGCGATGCCACTGGCGCATGACCTGATGCGCGCATAACCTGGGCCTCTGGAGATCCTATTGCGAGCCTTCTCCAAGACAACACAGGGGGGCACCTTGAACCACAGAGCGCGTTGACTGCGCTCCGCCCAGATGAATCCCCCGCGTTCGCAAACTTCGACAGAGGCCCCAAGACCTCCAGGAGCCTCGGAGAGGCGCAAATGAGGAGCCCAATATAAAGCAGGTGTCCAGGCTAAAAGATGGCAAATGGATTCGCTTCCCAGGGCCAGCCGAGTCGAAAAGCTCCTCGCGACCCAGAATGCAAGCACACAGCCGCGAAACCGAAGGCATGGGCAACTTCGCGAGGCACTCCTCGGTAAGGGCAGCTTCCCGCGCGAAGGACCAATTTCCGCAGTTGAGTCCCAAAAGTCGATTTGCTCTCTGTCCCAACTATTCACGTCGAATTCCAGCGCCTTGCAATAAATTCGATAGAGGCCCAGGCGCCTGACCACGGTTCTCTCATCGACTCCGGCGGCATCGCCGATGCAAAATTGGCATTGCAGCAAGGGGGCCCAATGCATGCTCAACCACTCTGAACAATCTAATCAACACTTCCAGTGCCTCACCCGACACAGAAAACAGAGATCACGGAGGCACAGGTCCACTCGCTCCCAAGAACGCGGGGGTCGAGAAATCAAAACAGGCGCGAGCAGCGCCCGTGACCTCCCCGAGGGCCAGCGCCCTTCAAGGGCAACAGCTGCCTGCGGGCACAACCCGCACTGGCCCGCGGCGAGGGCGCGGCTCTGCTGGGGGACGAAGGGCCCGCCGCGACGGCCGTTCACTTTTCTCCGAGCAGCCATCGAATCTTTGAGGGCGTTCACGGCGGCGCCATGCGCGCGGAAATGCGCGGTCCAACCCGCGCCCTCAGCCCCCAGATGCCGGCGGACAGGGCTGCCCCGACCCAGGGAGGGAAGCCCGCGAGCAAGGCCCCATGCCCCCCTGGGACTCAACATGGGCTAAGGCCCAAAACTCGCCGTGCACCGCACTAAGCTCATCCGCCGATTTCTCCAAGAGCTCCATTGCCGAAGGGGGGGCTACCCTGACGTGCTTTCCACGCCCGCGCCTCCCCAGGCGTCTCGAATGGCCCGACGTGAGCAGGCGCGTCGCTCGCCAGATCGGCGGGGAAACGGCGGCGCTGCCGGGCTGCATCATGGAACCAAGAAATCTCGCGGGTGAACTTCAGCAGCTCGCGAAGCCCGCTGGAGACGGGGGGCCGGCGGGGCAGTTCTGGGCGCTGAAACCTCTGCGCATGTGCGCCGCGAGTCACCGGAAAAGCGTTCTCCCGCTTCGGCATGGCCACCCTTCCAACGCGGGGCGCCTGGCCGTCGACCAGCGCGCGCGAATGCGATAATAGCGCCAGGCTGGCCGTGCGAACCTACTTGGGGTCCTGATTTCTGAAAGCCAGACACCCGCCCAGCAGTGCGTTCAGGCATGGCCTCGAAGATGTCGCTGGGCATCGAAAGGCAATGGCCGATGAGGCTTTCGGAGGCTCGCGGCACACATCGGAGAGCCAGTGGCCATCGGGGCCCAGAGCAGCAGGGGCCCCTCGAGGCCGAACGCGCTGACAGACAAGCCCCACCAAGGCCTCCAAGCCCATGGTTATCCAAGTACGCGCGGGGCTTGCAAGGGGAGCGGAGGTCAGCAGATACCGACAGGTATGGATACAGCATGGACAGAAAGAGCACGTAAGCAGTCTTAGTCTCACTCGCAGGGCAGGTGAACTGCACGTTCTGAAGCGACATCTATCAAGCATACATGAGGTCAAGGATGCCAGACGCTTCAAGAATCTCCTGATACCTGTTGGCATATTCCATCAGAAACCAGGGAACCGAACTTCCACGGATAAACTCAGCAACTCTACGAAGCCGGGGAGAGGTTTCACCAAGAGCCCCAATGGATGAAACGGTGCAGGCCATTCCCACCGCGATGGCGCAACTCTTTGAATGCGTCTCCAGGAACAAAAGCATCAATCAGTCACCAGCGGCGGAACGCCAGCAGCCACTCCACCATGTGGGCCACCGCATGTGGACTTGAGAGCATCCTGGAAATACGCAGACCACTTCATATGACGACATGACGTTCTGGCGCGAAACGCTCCAAGACCCTGGAGGTGTCCAGCAAGAAGCCTCAGAAGCCCGATCTGCAAGGTAATCCTGGGACAGCTGAAAGCAATGCGTGACATTTGCAAAATTGAAGCGGACATTCTCGGACGCCTGCTGAGGCGAGTGGGCAGTTTATAAACGACTGGGGCTGGGCAGCCGAGGGAACTGGCTCCTCGGCATCTGGAATAAGCTGGGATGCAGCAGCGCCCGAGCTGGCCGCAACTCCTCCACTGCCACGCGCAACGGGGGCGCCTGCATCTGCTTCGCAGTGGCGGAGCATAAGCATAAGGCGCGTACATCTCACAGGTCGTCGTAGCCGTCGTGCGTGCACGCTTTCCGGTGCTAGGCATGATCTGCTTCTTGAGCAACTTCTGGTACTCGTCCGCGGCAGTCGCATCGAGTCAAGAATGCACGGCGCCGACGGTCACTAAGCTGGTCACGGCCATTGGCCTCCAGGTCGTTGTCACCGACCTCGATGCACAAATCCCAAGCGTCATCCATGTTGGCGTCTTGGCCTCGCGCCCGCTGCTGATGGGTGCGACTTTTTGCCAGTGGAAGAAAAGCGATGCCGGTGTAGAGGACGAGCTGGCCGAGTGGCATCGTCGGGCCCGCGGAGATGATTCTCAACGTAGACGCAGTCGTCCATCCTGCCGCGCGTCCACGCTGGATCATGAGCACGAGCATCAGGACAGTCACGAGAGAGAGAGAGAGAGCGTCTCCAGCTGACGAGCGGCTCGGCGGCGGGAAGCGCTTGGGCCGCAGCCGCAGGCGCTGGGGGCGCGCCAGCACCCGCACGGGCGCCCAACTCCTCCGCCATTGCCGTGGCCAGCTGGCGAATCTTTTCCTGGACCTCCTCCACGCTGAGTTCCTTGAACTCAGCAGTGTTGAACATATTCTCACCCCTCCAACGCAGCTGTGGCCTTAGTCTACCTCTCCAGACGCCGCTTGATTTCCTGAGCAGCCATCTGCTCAGACTTGGACTCGGCTTGGCCAACGCCGTCTGCGCAGTGGCCGCCATCTGATGAGGGGGGGGAGGAAAATGAGGAGGAGGAGGAGGAGGAGGAGGAGGAGGAGGAGGGAGGAGGAGGGAGGAGAAGGAGGAGGAGAATGAGAATGAGGAGGAGGAGGACGGGAGGAAGAGGAGGAGGAGGAAAGGAAGGAGGAGGAGGAGGGAGAGGAAGGAGGTGGAGGAGGAGGGAATCAGGAGGAGAAGGAGGAGGACGATGAGGATGAGGAGAAAGACAAGTCCCAACGCGCGCGGCCGACGGGCGCGAGTGAAGGCCGCGGCCCTGGCGAAGCGCCGGGCCCGAACCTCCCCGCAGCAAACGCTAGGCGAAGACGCATGCACAGTCTGAGGAGGCAGCTTAATGACATTTGTTTACAGAAGCGCAGCAATGCCTGATAAGTACCTCTTTTGGCCGGTAGGCGTTAGATCACAAACGAAAACGCTCCCGGACGACGTTGCGACAGGAGGGTCGGATGAACAGCTGGCGCAGCATGCAGGCAACTTAATGACAATTGTCCTGTACTCAACGCGTGTGCAGTGCACAATGCGTGCTGTCAGCACGGCCCTCTGTGGAGCCTCTGAAGCAAATGTCTGCGGAGGTGGGAAAGCGCTGCCGCAAACCCTCCCATCCCGCGCATGCTGAAGTTGATGCTCGAGCAAAACCGACGAGGTCTTCGTCGGAACGACTAAGGGCTGTTCAGCCCACTCAAAGGGCCATTGAGCCGGATCCGGCGGCTCAAGCCTGGGATAACAAGTCAAACTCAACTGGATCAGATCGGACTGAACGGGACCACGTCGGATTAAACTGGATGATGAGCCGGAGTATGTCAGCTTGCGACCAGGGACATACCAGCCCCGATTCTGAATGAGGCCTCCCAGGAGCTGCATCACAACGGGATCCTCGAGCACAGGGCGACACACGCGGAAGCTCCATAGGCGACGGTGCTCGGGCATCCGCGCGCGCGACGCGGGATGGACGAACGACGTCTTCGCGTGGCTGGTATTTGATAAGGCTCCGAGCAAACTCCGCAGGCTCCGAGCAAACTCCCCTCATCCTCCTGCGCCATCCACCCGCTAGCCTCCATCTCCTCCCCCTGCACTGCTCCCCTTTCTCTTGGTCCTCCTCCTTGGCGCCCTCCTCCTCCTCATCCTCCTCATCATCAGCATAATCATCATCATCCTCATCATCATCATCATCACCACCACCATCATCATCATCATCACCATCATCATCACCATCATCATCGTCATCGTCATCGTCATCACCATCATCACCATCGTCAGCATCATCAGCATCATCAGCATAATCATAATCATAATCATCATCATCATCATCATCATCATCATCATCATCATCATCATCATCATCAGCATCATCATCATCGTCGTCTTCATCATTATCATCATCAGCATTAGCAGCATCATCATCGTTTCGCCCTCGTCCTCCTCCTCCTCAGCCGCATGCTTCTCCTCATCCTCCTCCTCCTCATCAGCCTCCTGCCCCTCCTGCTCCTCCTCCTGCTGCTCCTCCTCCTCCTCCTCCTCCTCTTTCCCACCTCTTAGTCCTCCTCCTCTCCCTTCCGCGAACTCCTTTTCCTCCCTCTGGCCGGCCTCCTCACTTCTGGGGCCCACAGAAGGATGCAAATTCGGCTAAACATCAAGCCCAGAGCAAACACAAACCCCCAAGGGGGTGATTTTCAAGATGTGCACCCGCTGAGGCCTGGACCCCTACCCCAAGATGGGCTTTTCGTCCCGACTTGTGCTTGTTTCTGCCCCGAGGGTTCGGGCCCTCGGATACCGAAAACCCTACCGAAGCCTTCTCCTGTCCGGGCCCCTCGCTGCAAAGGGGAGGACTGGGGAGCGGCGGTGGACAAACCTCTCTTTAGCAAGCCACCCTTCAGTGAAAACGGCCCAAGACCGAAACCGACGGACCTGGACCCGCAAACGTGACGGCCGCGACACCCTCCCGCGAAGCGAGAACGGCCCATTCGCCAAGCGGCGTGTCCGAGTGGGAGGCCCAGACCCCCGACGTAATGATTTTTTCATTACGTCGACCCCCAGAGGTCCCGACCCTTTCCCTATGACCGGCTCTGCATCCTGAGTCGTTTTTTGACGCTCCCGAGGCCCGGCGAGGGCCCCCGGAGGCCGAAAATTAGGAAAAACCTCCCGTCGTGATTTTTTCATTACTCGAAGGGGTCTGGGTCCGGGGGGAGGAGGCTTCTGCCCCCCCGTCCGGTCCTCTTGCCCCCCTTGGCGGGACTTCTGCCGCGGCTGGGCTTTCGTCTCCGCTCCTCCTCTCCTGGCCGGGCGCGCGCTCGCCGCGGGGGGGTGGGCGGCGAGGGGCGCCGGGCGAGGGGGGGGCAGAGACAGGGAGGCCGGCCGTCGTCTCCAGAGCGGGGGACAATCGCTATCGAGGAAGGAGGAGGAGGAGGAGGAGGAGGAGGAGGAGGAGGAAGAGGAGGTGGAGGAGGAGGAACATTATGTATGAATATGATGGTGAATTTGCGGATGAGGAGGAGCAGGCGGAGGAGGGGGAGGAGGAGGACTCCGGTGCCGGCTACGGCTGGGTCGGGTCTGTCCTCCCACAGGGCGGATTTTTCGAGGGGAAAAAAAACTATAGCCAGAACGTCCACAGAGAGAGTCAAAATAGCCGGACACATCGTCCCCGACTTTTTGTTCCTTTCTTCTTGGGTTCTTGGGCACTCCTCCTGTAGAGGGACATGCCCGACCGAAGCCCAGAAGGGGGGATCGCCTCCGCATTCCTCTGGCCACAGGACTGCCGAAGCAGAGGGGGGAGGTTGAAGGTGGGAGGGGCCTGATGGGCGCGCTGCGCCACATGTGACATCCTGCAACCCAAACCCCCGACGTCATGACTGCTTCATAACATCGCCCCCCCGAAATCTCGACCCTTCTCCTGGGACCGCCTTTTCACCCAGAGTCGTGTTTTGTCTATGCTTGTTGCAGTGCCAGGGGGTCTGGGACGGCGCTCGCCTGCCCAGGTGTCAAAGGAGACCGTGGCCCTTGAGTGGCATTTTTTTGCAGCGCGAGGAGGCCAGGGCTTGAGGCGAGGGCATCGGGGAGGTGGGCGAGAAGGACCAGGAGGAGGAGGACCGGGAGGAGGAGGAGGAGGCACCGGACAGCACTAGCATCCCAGACCCCCTTGATGAAAAGATCACGACGGGCGTTTTTTCGCTATTTTCGGCCCCGGGGAACCGGGTCTCGGGGCCGTCAAAGAACGGCTCAGGATGAAAAACTGATCCTGGGAAAAGGGGTCCAGACCTCTGGGGGTCGACGTTGTGAAGAAATGACCATGTCGGAGGTCTGGGATCAGGGCTAGAATGGAAAGTAATACTCCTGTGAGGTACCAGGATGGAACAGGAGGGACAGCGGCTCAGCAGGGGCCAAAGCGAGAGGGCCGTTCAAGGACGGTCGGCGATGAACGGTCGAAGACGACCCAGGTGGGAAACAGCATACAGGAAATACCATTAAGACGACTGTCAGATCGAACCAATCATATACGGCAACGTGTCGACATCCTCTGTGAACAATGAAATGGGAGAAAGGCTGCCCCCGCACTGGACATTATCGGGGGAGAGAGGAGGCAGAGCAATAGGTACGTGTAGTAAGAGGACGCCAGGACGAAGATACCAGTGGGTGAGGATGGATCGAGAATCTCCGAGATGCAGCGTCTCTGGAGGATGTCTCGGGCGCCGCGGCCGTCTATGAGCCTTCGGGAACACGTTCGGGAACGCTCTGGAACTGATTCGAAGGATTGCAAAAAAAGATTGAAGGATTGCAAAAAAAAAGGATTGAAGGATTGAAGGATTGCCAAAAAAGGGTTTTTTGGCAATCATTCGAAGGGTTTTTTTGCAATCCTCGTCCTAGCCCCGCCCTGGTGTGGTTCGTGATTGCAGAAGGGGAGCAGGAGAGCGGCAAGCACCGACGCGACAGCGCCCTTACGGAACGGCCAGAAGAGGAATTGCCGAACACAGCACCCTCGTGGAAATACGGATGGGACAAACCATAGCCAACGTGTGACTTGCCAACGTTTGATTTTCGGCTTGTTATACACTCGCAATTTTCCGAATTCCCAATTCCATTTTGCATTTTTCCGAATTCCCAATTCCATTTTCTGTTCATGTCTCACAAATTTGTTGTCTGGCTGGTAGACTGATTGCACACCCATGCCCTGCACAGGGCCGAGCAGCCGGCAGGCATGCTCGAGTGGCTCGCTCGCTCTATACACTCGCAAGACAAGCGGCGCTCCATACTGACAATGCCAGGGGTGAGAAGAGAGTTGTGATCATGCTGAACGGTGGTCGGCAGGGCAGCAGTGCAGCAGGCGCCTGGGCGAGTGCACCCATCGGGATGACCGAAGACGAATGGCCGAATACGATCCATGAAAACAAAGCATGCCGAAAACGGCCCGATCAATCAACAACATGCAGAATACGTCTTTTGAAAACGCGCGTGTGAGA